TGTTTGCCCCACATATGAAGGAAGCTGCTTGTTTGCTGCTCTCTGACAGCTGTGCTGCTCCGTAGCAGCGGCACGTGACTCCGTTTAAGGAGCGCCACCGATACAGTGGCGCCACAGCGTTGTGTTAAAAAGCGCTGCGCTGTGAGTGTGTGGCGTTACGGCCTGATCTGCTGAACAGGAACATTGTTTTACAAGCAGCAGCGCATCCATCATTCTAACTACTGGAGAGCCAGTGGAGATGATGAGGGCCGACTGTGGCGATTACAGCACAAGATTCGCTGCTGTCGAATAGCGTCGCCTCTTTCCTGAGACGACGCTTCTTGAGACGAAGGCTTTGTTTAAAGAGATCTTGCTCAGAGAAGCTCAAATGGACGCCATCTGTGTCTTCCTGTCTTCATTTAGATCAGCTAAAGGCAGAAGTTGTCGTTGCTGAATCCCTGAAAATCTGCAGGGCAACCGATGGCGTTGCACTCTGTTTGCGCTTGCCAACGTTGTGCCTGTGAGCCTCCCAGCTCCACACATTCAGCGTTATTGATAGCATTTGGCTGATCTTCTTGAAGCTTTCTGTGTGTTGTGTTTTACCAGGCTTCCCCTGACAACCTCAAGCAAACATAGATGTAGAGAGGCTACGAGTCATTTGAAAGCAACGGATTCCTACTTCCAGCCAATCCCATCGACGCTAACGCCCATGACATCATGTCTCGCATATGAAAACTCTTATCTTTGGCTTCCTGCCCTACCTACATCCTCAAGTTTATATTGCACTCATTAAATACTCAGTAAGTGAATAGTCCACTGTTTGGCCTGTCACTTTTTCACCATATAAGGCTTTTGCTTTGGAGATAAGAGTGTCTGCTCTTCGCTAAATGGACTTTAAAATTAAGAAAAGACAGCTTCATAAAAATGCACTGGGTGTAGCCACATTAGATATAATAGAGCAATGTAAACTCAGGGCCTGTCTAAGGCATCTATAGTACTTCAACTTATGCATATTTTGTTTTATTGCAACCAGAAACTGTTATGTACCCATTTTATCCCAATAAAATCCTTTATTAGGATTTTATGTGACAAAAAAGTGATCTTTTTTTTTTTAGATTATTTTAACACTAGGTTTTAAAACAATATCCTATAAATGGATAGGATTCATTCGTTTATTTATTCATTTACAAACCATTTCAAAGGGGGAGTATTATGTGTTTTCCAGGCACAGAGTGCCATTTTATAGCACAATCAAGTAATTATATTAACTTTAGTTGTTTAAAAAATCAGTTCATTTCACTTTATTTTGGTAAATGACCAACATTAAACACAGAAAACAAAAACAATACTAATTAATAAACCCATAATTTACCAAAAAAGGAATAGGCTAATGAAAAGATTGGAAATGAGCCGTCCAGACTGCTGGGAAAATGTTAGATATGGGCAAAAATAATCGGATTTGAAATTCAATATTCACCAGACGCTTTTTGTCCAATCAGACATGAAAGAATGGGCAAAATGTCAGCATCTGGGGTAATAAAAACTAGAAAGATAAACTGAAAAACATCAAAATTTGTGGGTGTAATCTGGAAAAAACGTGAAAAAGTTCAGGCAGTATAAACGCTTTTACACTGTATATGAATTTTGCCTCCCAGGTTGCTGGGCGAGGCCAGGTTTCACCCTATAGGTCGGGGCTGTCCTCACCTTGCCAGGGTTTTTTTTCTACTGTTGCAAGACAAACAAGCTGACACCAACCAGCAACAACACATGTGAGTAATGTGCCAGCAGCCAAGTCAAACATTAAACCCTAAACCAAGCATGAATGAATGAGCTCTCCATGGCTGCTAGCGGGGTCCTGATAGGAGACCGTACACACATGTATCATCTGCAGAGTGGCCGGCTGCACAAAAGAATGGATTAACTGTACAGTCTCAACAACAGGCATCCATCACAGGACATTTTTCAGTCTCAACTTGAGCATGTGCTTATTGTTAAACCTGATGTGGCTGGCATTACATGCACAACTCTGGGAAATATCTCATTCATAATCGTGGGTGTTGGAGTCATTTTTCCATGTTTGATTTGTGTCTGAGAGGTTTTAGCTATGCTGCCTCTTTCCAGCCACAGAATGCTAGAAGTTATCAGCTGCAGTTCATTAATGAGAGTAATTAGCCTTGCTGTAACCCACACACCCTCTCCGATAGTTTACCCTCCAAGATAAGGTTGTGAGTTTCCTTATCAGACGTATTAATCACTTTGTTTGCTCTTGCATTCATGTTGGACTCAGTGGAGGGTGCGGTAACAGAAAAAGGAAGTATACACCTGCAAATGTAGAGAATGGGAGTTTAATGGTTAAGGCTGAGTGTTTTTAATCACTTTTACAACCAGCCATCATCAAAAGTGACCGAGTTGTTTTGTTCGGTGGAAGTTATCCAGCGGGAGTTCATTGTTTGAAGGAGGTGAAGAGGGAAACTTGATTTTCTCTCTATCTGTTTAACACCAAAATGACCCCAGTCTTGTTAGTCAATAAAGCTCCAAGACCAACCCTGATTGGTGGGTAGTTCTCAGGCCGTCACCTCAGGAAGCGGCGGCGTTCAGGCCACCCTGAAGTGGAGCGGCTCTCAAAGCTCTTTGAAGCCTTTGCTCTTTTCCACCCTCACTTCTGTCTGATCCATCTTTATCCCCTCTCCTCTGCCTGCCGCTCTCTATCTGTTTCACTCATCCTATTCTTCATGCTCTTTTTATCCCAGGATCACTCCTTCAGACCTTTGATTTGCATGTCAAAACCTCCATCCCCCCCGGGTTTGAATGTTATTAATGCTAATTGGAGGCGGGGAACTCCTTTAAGAAGTCAGCAGGTCTGTTTGTACACCTGGTGGGGTGTGTGTGGGTGGGTGGGGGTGTGTGTGTGTGTGGGTGTGTGAGCCAGAGACATCTTATGCTTTAAGGTGCAGGTGCATCTCAGTAAATTAGAGTAGAACTGAAAAGTTCATTTATGGGTATTGCAAACATTTATTACACACAGAGCTACATATGACAAGTATTTGGTTCCAAGTCTGTCGCAATACGCAATTAATCAATTTATCAATTATTTACACGGTGAATTAAAATGAGTTCAATCATTTCCATTCTTAGTACTAACATTTTTTGAAGGGCCATTTTGTTTTACAGGCTTCATAATCCATTCTATTTATGGTTTCAGCAGTTTGTTGTTTTTATTTCCTTTTTCGTAGTTGTGTTTTATTTTGGATATTTAAAATATCTTCCAATTCCAGTTTGGAGTGTTTTGTACAAAATTAAAGTTTATTAGTCTTTCAGAGGGCAAATAAAATAATTTGTCTCATGTTCATACAATACTTACATCTTGTGCAAGAAGGAACTCCAGTAGCAGTCAGTCACGCATCAAAGCTGAAGAGGCCTCTGACTGAAAAATTAGTAAGAACAACATAACAAAAAACCTTACATATATGTAAAACAGGAACTTTTGTCACTTCAAAAACACAAAATCTTACAAAGTATTTTTTGTCTGGTTTCTAGTACAAATATCTTAGTACATTGAAATAATACAAACTAACTTACAAGTTACTTTTTAGCAATGTAGAGGCTTATTGTAAGTAAATAATTCCTTGATATTGATGAAAAAGTACTAGTTTCATTGGCAGATTATTTCAGTTAAAACAAGATATTATTCCCATGTTGTAAATGAATTAATCTACCAATGGAACTGGTACTTTATCATCAGTATTACTTAAAACAAGCCTCTATATCTTCCTGAAAAGTTGATTTTAAGTTAGTTTCTTATTTCAAGTTCACTAAGATATTTACACTGGAAACTAGACCAAAAATACTTGGTAAGATTTATGTTTTTGCAGTGATTAACCTGTTATATATTTAAATAATGTTCAATTTCAGATTAAAGAGGCCAGATAACATACTGTAGTCAAATAAAAACATCTGTTCAAATACAGGAACAAATACTATATATAACTTGTGGTAAAATATATTTTCTCATTTCTTACATGACAGTTTCTGTCATTGTGCTGATCTTTACAGCCCAGTGTAAAGTGTATCCTCCAGAACTGAGGAGTGTTATAGAGAAAGGCTAAGTGTTGTGCTAATGGCCACAGAGATGATTATTCTGGTATCACTTTACATCCCAGCTCTTGTTGTGGTGAAAGAACTAAAAAGAACCGTACTGAAAGATATGATATTCTTCACTACAATGTCCAATTAAGCTATCAAAGCCTGGCAAGTGTGATGAATAAAACCCCAAGTGTTTGTGTGTGTTTATTTTACCATTAGGGTATCATTGTCCTCGGAGGAAAGTGGCTCGGTGTTATGCTACAGTTAGCGCGCGTGGCACTGAGGGAGCAAATTGGATTGGTAGTACAGTATGTAAGCCTGCTGTTACATCCTGATGAGCGCAGACAAACAAATTGGATTGGTGGCGTGTAAATCCGAAGCAGTTTGATGAGCCGGAGGGGCAAATTGAATTCTCAACAATGTAAATCTGCATCAGCTCGATGGCTTCCCGCCCGACTCCGCCACTTAAATCACGCGATTGTTCCCCCGCCGTTTCCAAGGCACAATCGCTCATGGCCATTTGCTGCGGCGCCTAATCTGTTTTTGATGACCGTGCCGGGGTGTCGCTGTACATATGGGCAACTGAATCTGCCTCTGGCCCGCTCTGCACAAATCACACTCATTCTGTTTTACTTCAGCCTCCGACACACACACACACACACACGCAACCTGTACATTTGGCAGAGAAAGATTGCTTTGATAGAGCCATCCTTGTGTGTTGATTCAAGTGATTACTCAGATGATTGGTCATATTAATGGACCTCCTGTTTTCTTGTGATCTCTATCTCTGAGATGACAGATGATATTTATTTCTCTCTTCCAACTCTGATTACTACACGTTGTGTTTAATGTCGTCTTCTAAGGAAATCATTACCAGGAGTGAATAGCTTTTCCTTTTCGTTTGTTGCTCTGATTGTTACGTTTGTGTTTCTCTGCAGTTATCCGTACAGTGAGGACGTCCATCACGCCAAGCAGTACAACACCACCAGATGCCCCGCCTGGTGTGACCGGATCCTCCTGTCAATTTCTGCTAAACACCTGATGGCTATGGTGAGCAACTGACTTTTGATTTTAAAAATTGCAACATCTTTATCCAAAGAATTTGGTCATTATGATGTCACGGTCACAAACTTTAAGCCAAATTTGTCTGCACAGAGCACTTCAACAACCCCATGAAAATTTAACATAGTGACCACTTATGAAAAAAGCAATAAACCTGTCAAAATTTGACATTTGATTATGTCAAATGCCATCATCAAGCAAATAAACATCAAATATATTGATCAATATTCCAGTTTTTATTAATCAAAGGCAATTCTAAACAGGTTGGTTTTTAGCTTTGCTTTAAATGAACTCAGTGTTTCAGCAGTTTTACAGTTTTTCTGGAAATTTGCTTCAGATTAGAGTAGCATAAAAACTGAATGCTGCTTCTCCATGACTGGTTCTGGTTCTGGAAATGCAGAGTAGACCAGAACCAGAAGACCTGAGTGGTCTGGAAGGTTGACACAACGACAACAGGTCTTTAATGTATTTTTGCTTAAAAAACTTTCTGATTATTGGGGTGTGCTCCTTCTTCCCTGATTTCACCGGATGTGCCCAAAAGCGGGACAGAAATCGGCAGAATAATCTTCCCGTTTGATCCAGATGCTGCAACACGATAGTTACCCTAAACATACAGCCAAAGATATAACAGAATGGGTTCAATCAAGGAATATTGGTGTAAGATGTCCTAGTCAAAGTCCAACAGACACCCTCAATCCTATTTGAGGCTAGTTTTGCAAAGCTGTTAGAGAAAAGACCCCAAAAAGCTCGTTATGTCATCGCAGTAACAGGTGTTCTCTCCCAGCTGTATTTAAATGTTAAACGAATGAAATGTTTCCTCCCTTTGTTCCTGAATGTCCTTTTGACCCGCCGAGCCAAGGAACAGTGTGTATCCCAGCACTTATAGAGTTCTGCTGGGCCCCATCTTCTTCATAAAGCCTTGTCTTCCTCAGAGAGTTGAACCCCTGTTTAACTTTGGATCCTCCTCAGAATTACAAACAGCAGCCAATCTGCCACCTTTCTCCTCCTCTAATGCTCCCACAGCCTGTTTCTCTCCTGACTCTCTAATTTGTTTGCTGGATTACGGACTGATCCTGCGTGCAGCCAAGTAGTTTTCACATATATTTGGTTTTACTCCTTGACAAATACATCTTCAAACCCAAACCAGCCAGTAACAAAAAAACAAAGTTTTGAGCGTTTTGGACTTCTAAGCCTTAGTATTTTAGCCACTTGACTCCTTTTGTGCAGGAAAAGCCCAGCTTTCATCTGGAAATGTGTGTTTGTGTGTGTGTGTGTGTGGGAGAGGTGCAGCAGTGTGTTGTACAGTACCAGTTCACAGTGGGGGGGGCTGCTCAGGAAGTTTGGCTTTCTTTTGTCTTCAACAAATGAGAAGAAATTCCTTCCTGATCTTTCTTCTGAAGCTTCAATGGAGATCTGCAGCCTTCCTAAAACATCAAGGCTGATCTCTGGAACAAAAGGTTGAGAAAACAGCAACTTTAAAACACCTAAAGTATGAGATATCACAGCGTAATAAAACTGATGTGATGTTTGCCAATTGTGAAATAATTTAGGTTTAACCTCAGCTGTACAAAAACGTTATTCAAAACATTTATTATATGTAAAGCAAAGAAGAAACTGGAATTAATCTCTGTTTACAGGAAAAGGAGCTCAGAAAAATGACTAAACACACAAAAGGTCAACCTCAGGCTTTACAAAAAACAAAACATGGTTACTCACTGTCAAGCATGGTGATGGAGGAGTGGTTCAATGGGCTAACATGAGTCACTCCTGTTGTCCGTCTGACCGCTACACCTTGACCCAAAGGTCAAGGTCATGATATGACAACGATGCCAAACAGCAAATCTGCTGGAAAAGGCTGGAAATGAAACAAAACTAGGTGTTAAAATGGTCCAGTCAAAGTTCAGACCTCGTCCTGACTGAAATGCTGTGGAGCATAACACAGATGTGCAGAAACTGGATTCTGCAAACTTCTTTTTTCCTCATTTTTCATTTTTTCCTTTATTCTTTTCTTTTTTTCTTTAAATTTATTTTTTCCTCTTTTTAACATTTCTTTCTTTCTTTGCATCTTTTGTTTTTTTTATTTCTTCTTTCATCCTTTTCTTTTTTCCTGTCTGCAAACTTTAATGACTTAAATCTATGAAGTAAAGACCGGTTGGCCAAAATTCTTCTGCAAACTGTGAGTGAGTCTGAAAACCTGAAACAGAAAACCTTTCCTAAGTTATTGCTGCTACAGAGCTGCTAAAATGTAGGATTTTTTTTTGTTTTTCACATTTTGATTTAATAAATATTTTTGTTTTTTATAATATTTGTAGAGCACAGTAGGATAAATTTGTTGGGTTTTCCAGGAGGATTGCCAGCTTTCCACTTGAATGAATAAGCCTGTCGCCATAAGTGATTAATCAATTAATCGCATGATAAATTAAAATGAGCTCGATAATTTCCATTCTGATTTATATTTTTTGAAAGGCAATTTCGTTTACAGACACATCATAATCCATTTTATTTATGGCTTCAGTTGTGTATGTTTTATATTCCTGTTTTATTTATTGTTTTTGGTTGTGTTTTATTTTGGAGTTTTAAAATGTCTTCCATTTTCAGTGTTAGGTGTTTGTTACAAAATTAGTTTATTCTTCTTTGCGAAGGAGGACTTGCATTATTACACCATCATCAAGAAAACAATACTATCATTTATCACAATTTATAGTCCTGCAAAATTATGACACACCTAGTTGTGAGTAGTCTATCTCTCTGCAGAATGATGAACTTTAAATACTTTGAAAAAAATCCTTGCAGCTCTTCCTGGATTGATAATATAAGGCTATTGTTGCTATCTTTCCATCTTGCCATTTTGTTGGCAGAAATTATAATGCAAATTGCATAAACTGCGATTTAGATGCTCAAAACATTGTCAATATTCTGCTCATGTAAAAAAAAAACATAATTGTGGAGTTTCCATTAAACAAGAAACACAATTAAAATCACATATGAATAAGTTTGTTCACACCATAAGTCATTACAACCGTGCTGCCACATGTTTCTGTCCTCTACTTCCTGTCCTCTTCTTCGTGGTTTGCGCCAGTGGCAACATAATGTGACGTGAAAAACGTGTTTCCATTGCAGTTTAACAAAATAAAACAATTTCAATATGGCCACAAAAACACCTCATCCTTACCCCAAAACTTTTTTTTTTTTCAGAAAATTATATTTTTTCTTTATTAGGGTGTTTCCATTAAGCACATTTAGTTTTAAAATGTCAAATTGCGCAAATATATGATCAATGGAAACGCTGATGATGATGCTTATCAGGTATTATATTATGCAGCTGCTTTCCTTATGTCCTCATTAGTAAAACCCTGGAATAAAGAGGGTGTACTTTCTCTCCTTTATCAACTTAATTTATCAGAATTATGTTAAAGGTGATTCTCCCTCACAGCTGGCTGCTTGTTTGCTTTCTTCGCCCTGAAGTGCCGGCTAATTGCTGGTAATGCAAGGCCGGAGTGGAACAGTTTAGTGCTTTCGCAGATTGGCTGATGATTCACCGAGCGCCCACTCTCAGGCTCTGAGCGTTACAGATTGTTGAGACATGGGCCCGTAAACAGCCCGGCATGCGGCGTCATCTATCATGGCACGGTCGGTTAACTCGCCATCATGTTATTTTCTGCTTGCCGAGCCCTAACACGCCAAAGGTTGCCCGCTGGCTGCGCGGCGCGGCACCAGCTCCGGGAGCGCCGGTAATGAATGTGTAGCCGAGCGAGCGCTCCCTCCCTGCCAGAGGAGCCCCCGGGTAATTTGTTTATCTGTCTAAAGATTACGCAGCCCGAAAATCCACAATTTTATGCTGCCTTTGTAAATTACCAAGTGTGTGTTTGATGAATGAATCCCGGGCTTGCGGGGAAGGGGGGACGCCCGTCACTTGAATAGAGAGGTGGCGGCTCGCTTGGAGAGGTAGAGAGGTGGAGGCGGGCGGCGCGCTGACCCCGCACCGCTGCCGGATCGCTCTGAACTTAATTCTGAATTTGCTTTATCGCTTATTCTCACACTCCCTCCTCAGAAACAGGACTGCGGATCTCTGTGCGTGTGGCTGTTCAAAAACTCTTTAGTTCAACCAGACGCGTTATGATTTATTCTCCAGTCTGAAGATTCATGAGTGAACAGGCATCGGGCTCTCGGTGTGTGGACAGGAATCCAGAAACAACATTGTCTTTCACAAAGCGTTCAGATTACAGGGGGGATGAAGCAAATACGCAATTTGGGAATTATTTCTGCTCTTTACTCCTCTCTGAAGGGTTTCAAATCATTTAGATCTGAAATTAAAATACAAAATTGTAATGTTTTCACAGAGTTAACTATTTTACGACTTGTTTTAGAATTACACACTCATTCATGTGATATTTTATATAACTTGTGGGTCCAACTGATTGTTGCCTCTGGGGCATTTTGCCTACCTACCTTTTTATATGAATTATTGAGTTTAAACATGTACAACATCAAAACAGCACAGATTTGCAATGTGGGCTTTTTTGTTGCCACTAATGAAAAGTTATTTCTCCAATGCAGTTTACCGCACAATCATCACCAACCCTATACAAAAACCAGGTATTAAATACCAACTGATGACAGTAGGATTAATACTTCCCTTGGCCAGTAGCTCCATTCTTCTAAAAAAAAAACTCAAAAACTATAACTTTATTATTTTTCAAATGCTTTAGTATTGTTTACATTCATAAAAATCCCCCAAATATTGTTACAACTCAAATGAATAGAAAAAAATCCACAAATACTTGAACGCTTAAAAATGCTTAATAATTCAAACATCAAATAATATCCATTAATACGCAGTGGAAACTACCAAAAGCTAACATCTACGGTGTTAATTATTTCCAGCCAGTCAGTACCAAGACAAATAAATGTCACTCCTGGATTGGCTGCTTTGCAAATGTTGTTGCCTCTGTAACCAAAATGTGTTTGACTGTATGTGTTTCTGTTGGTTCTGCAGCACTAATGCATTTTATTTCTCTGTCTCTGCAGCCAAAAGATAAGAGAGAGGAAGAAGAGCAGGAAAATGACGAGAATTCAATAGTGTATGATAACATTGGGCCAAATGTCTGCATGGGGGACCACAAGGTAACACCAGGGGCTCCAACCATATTTCTCTAAATGTTGTTTAAATGTTGTTGAAACTGATAGGAAGTGGAGGAGGCTTTCACCTCACCGAGAAACCCCTTTTCAAAGTATTGTTAAATAATGTCTTATGATCTTATGGATTAAAAAAAAAAATAAAATAAAAAACGTGCAGTGCAAATACAATTCTCTGCATCAACATTTTATTGCAAAACACGTTGGTGGCACCGTCATGCTTAGGGACTTTTTTTGTCAATGTGATCTAATGTAGAACAGTTCCAAATTCCAGTCAGTTTTGATCTTGAGGCGTCTGTAAAGGGACTTTATTTGTCATCATCACATTGAGTCCAAACATGCACTTAACCCAGCAAAAATAATAACTCAACGAGATAAAATGTAGGTTGTTTTCCCTTCTGACAGTCCAGTAGATTTGGTTTGATTTGGAACTAAAGTTGCAACATTTGTTACATTTTCAGTCAGTGCAATTTGCTTTCACATTGACTGTCAAACGAACCAAACTGATTGAAAAAGTTATTCCCCTCCTCGCCTGTGGTGGCGCTGCACCAAGACCCACTGAATTAAACAACATGAAAACCTCTGAAGAAGAAGCATATCTTCCTCCTGTGCAAATTGTAATCAAATATGGAGTAGCATCAAATTTTAGCGATTATAGGATTTCTGTTTTGTCTCTCGTCGTTAGCCATTTCTCCTGCTAGCACTAGACTAGCGTGTTTGTTTTGGATGCATTTACCCAGAATGCCCTGCGCTTTAGTCCACTTCCTGCTTTTGGAAGAATTCAATTAATCAGAACAGAGATCTATGTTTATAGACGGACCATTGTTGCCTTTTTTCGTCCACATAAAAGTTCAATTTTGCATTCACACCTCCCCAAATGAACTAAAGTTTCTGGACAATCGAAGTAGAGTTGGATAAAAGCGGATTAAACAGGGCTGGTGTGAATGGACTCTTAGATTTGCAGTGGCCTAGTCAAAGGCCAAAACTAAATCTGATTGAAAACCTGTGGGGATCATAGTGAGGACAACAGATTTTCTCACAGTCTTAGGAGTTTGGAGAAATATTGCATGACAGAGTAGAGAAACACATTAAACATGGACAGAGGTGCCTTAAATTAAATCTGTTCTCAAGCAAAGGCATCCTGGACACTAAAAAAAAAAAAAAAAAACTGCAGCAGCCTCCAAATCACACATCGGTGCTAAAATCTCGGCTGCCTCTGTTTAAGAAGTGTCCGGTGTAGTTGACGCTCAGGCCCAAAAATGTGCGGTGCTGCTGTGTGAGTTTAACCTGCATGTTAAAGGTGCTCAGAGGTCAGAGGGCAGCAGCGAGTCCTCTTCCCACAGAGCAACAACTCACCGGTTTCTTTTTCCTGACTGTGGTTTGTCTCCTTCCCCCCTCCAGCCCGTCTTCCTGTCCTTCCGATTACCAGCGGGGAAAGGTAATCCTTATGCATGTACCTGCAGATGTTGTGTGGTGCAGTGATTTCGTGGTAAATATCATTTTTCTTTTCTTTATTAACATTTCTCCCCATTGTTGCAACTGTTTGCTTTGATTTGCTTGTGTTTTCTCTCCCATTATCTCACACCAAAGTACTTGTAAGAGCAAATGTTTCCTGTCTGAAGAGTTTTTATCCAGAGATAAAACTTCAACCGTTGAGAACTTAAAATGCCAAGGCCATTTTAAGATGCTGTCTTACAAGCTAGACTTTAATGTTTTTTTATTCTAACCCGTGAGCGAATGTGCTGTAGGTCAAGAAGTGCAAAAGTATTCATACTACTTTGACCTTTTCCCATTTTGTCACCTCACTATCACAAACAGAAGTATTTTGCAGTTTGTGAACAATCACTCCAAAAACACAAAATCTTGTCAAAATTTTTTGTCTAATTTCTAAAGCAAATATCTTAGTACACTTAAACCAAGACAAATAACTTTGAAGTAACGTTTCAGCAAGATAGATAAGCTTGTTTTAAGTCTATAATTATTTAATATAAACAAAATAGTACTAGTTCCACTGGCAGATTTTTTTTTCACTTTAAACAGGAAAATATTTTGCTATAAGAATAACTTGTATTTTTAGTTATATTTGAGAATGTTTTACTTGAAAGAAGCTTATTTATCTTGCTAAAAAGTTACTTTTTAGTTAGTTGTGTTTTATTTCAAATACTCCAAGATATTTGCACTAGGAAGACAAAAATCTTTGGTAGGATTTCGTGTTTTTGCAGTGATGTAGTTAAATACAAAAACCAGTAGAAAACTTGAGACTAGAGCAGGATGACGACCCTAAAAATGAAATATAAATAAATAAAAGTCTATTAAGTGTTAGAATGGCCTAGTCAAAGTTCAGACATATATCTAATTAAGTCTTGAAAATTATGGGAGGGAAAATCACTGGAGTTTGTGGTTGTGATTTTGCAAAATGTGCAAAAGAGTCATGAATACTTTTGAAAAGCATCCTAACTCTGCAAAAACGCAGAATCTAAGTATTTTGGTTTAGTTTCTAGTGTAAATGTCTTAGTACATTTGGATCAAAACAGAACAAACTTACAAGTAACTTTCATGAAAATACTGGAGCTTGATTTAAGTTAATAATTCCTTATTAAGGATTTTTTTACTTAAACAAGCTCCAATATCTTACTGAAAAGCTTCTTCTGAGTTAGTTTTGTCGTATTTCAGGTGCACTAAGATATTCGCACTAGAAACTGAACCAAAAATACTTGATAAGATTTTGTGTTTCTGCTGCGAATACTTTTTAAAATCAGTGTGTAGACGTTTTATTTTCCTTTTTCTCTCCTCTCCCACAGGGAATTCTTGCCAAAGGGAGGTAGAACATATTCCATGAAGAGTCTATGTGAAAACACCTGAAAAACACACGCACACACACAGTTTGCACAAGCACACACTGAAGATCCCAGACAAGCTTCTTTTATTTTCAGCGGCGCTGAGTTTTCCGGACGGCTCATCCGTGCCGTTTTCTCTCCATAAAACACTTGTCGAGATGCGGACGAGCACCCGAGGAGGGCCCCGGCTCCGTGCGACAGACGCACATTGCTGACCTCACCGTTGCCATGCAACCCCATTCCCCAGAAGAAGAAAAAAAGACAATCAGGGCGATGAATAAGCCACCCTTTTTTTCCATGCCACAGCCTTATTTCCAAAACTCTAATCCAAATCAGTCATACTACATGCTTTTAGAGCTTACTGGCCATTTTTAGGTATGCCTAAATGTATAGAAGCTACTTTTCAGACAATATGTAAGGTGTTAAACAAAAAAATCAGAAAAGATGAGAAAAATGTGCAATGCAAAAAATGTTGTATATCTATATTGTTAGGTTTATTTGTACATTTGACAGTATAATATAGAGCCTTGGATGGTTTTAGTGCAGTTCTCTGACCAAACTTCGCCGTCCCTGTTGGAATAAGTAGGACTTCTGATCTTAGTTTATTACGAAACTATATGAAACTATATACTTTTCATCCTGTTGCCTGACACATCAGTGGACTTTTTCATTTTATATGCTGTACTTTTTAAAGAGTTAATTTATGATTCGCACCAAAACGTTAGTGCTGCAGCGTGGGCAGACGCCGAGCGAGCGGGAACGCCATGGAAACCTTTGGATAAGTTCAGGAAGAAAAACTCTTTGGTGATTTATTGCCTATCCAAGAATGTTTTAAGCAGTGCCATAGACCATTCAAGTATATAAATATATATATATATAAATATGGAAAATATATAAGATAATGTTTGATATAAATAGCACCCTCACATTATGTCATTATTATTCCTACTCTAACTTATTTCTATAATATTATGGTTCTGAATGTGATATTTTAAGTAGGCTTGGGTGTCCCTTTAAGATGTAAACTTTTGTTTTTGTTTTGTTTTTTGTTGTTACTGCATTGTGGTGCCAAGTATTCTACACAGACTTAAAGTGTGTAAGAGTTGAGAAATGTCATCTGTAAAGGTGTTTATTTCCAAATGTAAGACTCTAAACCCAGAAGAAGAAAGCAGGGAGGTTTTCTTCTTTTGCTGTGTGGAGCCCCCAGGACGAGCATTAAAGGGGGCAACCGGAGACGGCAGCGTTTTTATTTTTTCCTTCTTTTATCGCTTTCGTTCACCACACTACAGGTTTCGGACTGTTTGAAGCCGTCAGACCGATTCTTTGTGATTTCTTTATTTGTTTCATCTTGATGAATCACAGCAAGTGGAATTTTTAAATGTTTTTTTTTTTTTTTTTGTGCCTGCCGGAGAGTTAATGTCGTCTTTTGTTTGTGTTGGTTTGTAGGCAAAAAAGAAGCTTGTTTTTGTTCCTGCTGGTCATTCTGAGTATGCTGTAGGAGTTTAAGCCACAGTTGTTTTTTTTCTTCACTCCATCTTATAAAAGCAGACAAGAGATTTTATTCTAGCCCCTTCTGGAAGGCCTGGCCTCTATTGTAGGTGATGCAGTTCTTAAGCAATAAAAACCATTAGAGCTCAACTCGTGTTTTGTCTCTTTAATCGTGTTTCTTTATTCAGAAGAGACTCACTTTATTGTATGTTAGGTTTTGCATGAGTGATTAGAATAACTACATATCAATTATATGTTTTATTACTTCATCGCCTCCAAGTTAGTTTTACCAATTAACTTTTTATAGAAATTGTAGAGATGTATGTCAACAAAATTAACTGGTGTATAAATAAAAAAATCACAACACATATTTTTATAAAGACACTTTGAATTTTTAATTTTTGTAGAAATGTTAATATTTCTATTAATATTAGTCTGATATTTGAAATAAATTATTTTAAAGAAAATAGTTCTGTTGATTGCAGGTTTATTACCAAATTTAAACAAATTAAATCTAATGAATTAATTCCTGATTGGCCTGATGAGACCTCAGTTATGAGGTCAGCTGCAGTAGCAGCTCCAGTCCATAGGGGGCGCTATTCTGTCCAGCAGCACCACCTTACATTTACTTTGAACCACCAAAAGCCAGTTTTATTCCTTAAATTAGAATACATGGAATAATCATATGTTAGTTATTTCTAGAAATTTGCATTTTGTTCATGAATGTAATATTTTTTTAAATTTCATTCCATTTTCTATAAAGCCCACTCACACAATAAAATAAAACAACAAAAAAGCTTGTTAAATAATTTATTCATAATACAAAGTCTTGTTTTTCCTTCCTATATTCTTCCTGGAAGCAATAATACTTTTTTTTTTTTAGATCAACATAATTAAAGATGCTGCAGTTTTCTGTCCCGCTGCATAATGAGGTAAAACTCAAACTCTTCTGAATGAAAACAAAGAAAAGATGTTAAAAGAAATGGTTTGTTTCCTTCTTTTTACAGTGATTATTTACAGCAAGTATTTTCTGCCTGCTCTTCTCTGCATGAAGAGTTGAATAAAAGGTTGAGAAAACGGATTAAAAACGTAAACAGCGGGTCAAATAGCCAAGGAAGGGAGAGAGACATGAAGTTTGAGCCAACATAACTTATCCAGTATAAAATATATACAATCTCACTTCAGTCATCCCAAGCAGACAACCCCCCTACACTCCCAAAAACAAAAAGCATAATAACTCTTTTGCTTTTTTAGCACAGCAGATTTACCCTGGTTAAAGTGAGCTTCAGAACCTCACAGGCCCGTTTACACCATGCGTCTGGGATCCGGATCAGCACGGAGGCGGCGTGGCGAAACAAAATGAAAAACAGCTCATAACAGATGGGTACTGCTGCTTAAAGCAGAAAAATTTTACTTTAAAGCAACAGAAATGAGAAATAAATCTTAAATTGGAAAAGTTTAGGTTATTATTGAGACTTTTCCTGGTGGATACCAATTTTTTAAAAGACATTTTTAGCAAAATAATCCCCGTTTACGCAATAAAGTGTACATCCCTAACCCTCAATTTGATTTATAATAAACTGAAAAAAGTGCATCAAAGTGCAAGTTGTTGGTTGATGTGTTAATGTGCCAACAACAAAAAGTAGCAATTCTTAGTTTTAACGCATTTAGCAAATCATTGAATCAGAGCCAATCAATGAAAAATCGGCTGATTCCGATTCCTGGACTGCTGATTAGTGCATTTCTAGTTGGGGAAAATGCTTTGATGCATAAATAACGATGATATTTCTGTTTTATGTTGGATTGAAAACTAAGAAAAAAGTCTGAATACCATTAATTTTCTCTTTTTTAATGTGTTTTAGTTCTGTATCGACCAGGAAAAGTCTGATTGGTGCATCTCTAATAATAATAATAAAAAAAAAACTCCTGAAGTACCCTGAAACTTTGGGTTATTAATGTTGAATAAATGAGCTGATCCAGATTTAATATTGTGTTTAAATTTGCCGCCGCTGTTAAAACTCCCACTTGGCAAGTTTCTTCCTCAGTTTTACTGTCCTCTGGACCGACAGAAACTTGGCCTCAGTTTTTTTTTTTTTTTTTCCTTCAAGTTCAGCTCGGACGAGGAGTTCTGGAGCGCCTCGTGTCCAGTTTAGATGAAGCCCCCCTCTCTGGCAATTTTCTCTGCCCGAGCAAAATGAAACAAAAAAATAATAATAAATTGCGCTTCCCATCGGACGCAGGTTGCTATATCAGGTGGGAGCTGCGTGGGACGGGTCTCCGGCGCCGGACCCCGCTGCTCTGTCCATCACAAGGTGTCCGAGCTGTTACTGCAGGGGCTGATCAGCGCCAGGTTGGTGGTGGCCTTGTGCTTCTTCAACAGTCTCGTGATTTTCTCGTCGTCGGAGTTGGGGTCCAGCGGCTTGTTGTACTCGTCGTCCTCCTCGTTGTCCGAGCTCTCCTTCATCTTCTCCGTCTCAGAGTCGTGCTTCTTCTTGGCTGAGGCCATCTCCGCGGCGTGCCTCTTCCTCCACTTGGTCCTCCGGTTCTGGAACCAAACCTGAGGCACGGGGCAGGAAAAAAAAAAAATCTAATAAATGAAGCAAATATTTACCTATGCTCTGTTACAGTGGCTGTGAATTTTAATTAATTTTTAAAAAGACATAATTCTGATTACCTTTACTTGACTCTCGGTCATTCCTAGGGAGTAGGCCAGCCGGGCTCGCTCGGGTCCAGCCAGGTATTTGGTCTGCTCGAAGGTTTTCTCCAGGGCAAAAATCTGCTGTCCAGAAAACGTCGGCCTGGAGTGTTTCTTCTTGCCGTCTTTGTCCACCATGAGGTTAGCCTGAGCTGCAGAGCACAAGAGAGAAACATGGAGGGGGAAATAAATTCAGAAAACTCCTTTAATTTGTGCTGTCTCAACAAAAATATTTTCCAGATTGTCTTGCCATATATATATTAATTTAAAAATATACATGCATATTTTTTTAAAATAATTGTGATTTAAGCTTCATCCCTGTCGGCTTTGTTAGAGTGAAAAACGCAGCAAAAAGTCATTAGAGAAACTTAAAAATCCATCAATGGACACCTTTAGGAAATGAATAAATATATAAAACTATCTATTTAAAATTAAAACGTTATTTAAATCACCTCCACTGCATTTCAATTAGTAGTTAAAATAGCCCACCTTTAGTTTGAAATAAAACTTTTTTTTTTTACAGTTAATATATACCATTTAATTGCATGTTACACTGCTTTTGCCTATTGTTGTTCTGTTTTTAAGCCTTTTGTTGTAAAGCGTTTTGCACAAATAAAATAAAAAATCCACTTGTTCTAATTTGTGCGGGTAATTGCAATTAAACCTGGATAAATCCGACAAATTAAATGTTATAATAATTTGGGTGATCGAGGACTTTCTAAGGTTGTTTAGTAAAATGTGTATAAACGCTACAATATTTTAGACACAAAATAATAGTCGATAACTCAAAATAAAACTAATTTACTCAACGTTGAAAAAAATGACAAAATATTTCAGGCTAAGATAGAAAATCTGATATATACAATTTAACAGAAAACCTAAATTTACTGAAATCATAACTAATAAGTAAACACCACGCACGCAAATGAAATAATTTTTAAAAAGTGATTTAATGAAGGATCCTTACATGGACACGGAACCCGCGGGTCCCTCCACGGGGCCCCCTGCATCACCCCGGGCCAGAAGATGGGCGCCCTGCCGGGCAGCTCGGCCAGCGGCTTCGGGTACCGGGACACCGCGGGGCTGAAGTACATCCCGGCCGCTGTGGTCGCCGCCAGCCCGTTTATCCGCGGGAAGCCGGACAGCAGCTGCCCGGCGGTGGTGATGGGTCTCCCCAGAATGTCGCTTATTCCGTGCGGGGTTCCCCCGGAGATCTGCGAGCTGAGGTTGGACAGCGAGGGCGCCTTGAAGCCCGCCGGGCTCTGCTGCAGCGCGTACGGGAACAGCGACGTCTTCATCTCGGTCATGTTGTGCAGCGCCGCCAGCGGGGTGCTGCCCAGAACGAACGCACTCTGCCGGTTAGCGTCCATCTGCCCGACCGCTAACATTTGTAAACATTAACCACCGAACTCACTTCAGTGGAAATAAACGAGTTAAAGATATATATTTTTTATTTTTAAAAAAGGCGGTTTTGTCGCTTTTCCTCCCAAAGTATCCTGAATGTCGAAGGAAGGAAGAGTCGGGAAAACTTCTTCTCTCCTGGGAAGTTCAGACCCGGATGAAACCCCCCCTGAAAGTGTCTCTCCGTGTTTGTTTAGGTCGCAGTCCGCCGCAGGAATCCTCGCCAAAGTCAGCCGGTTCGATGATGTTTTTAGTGGTTTTGATGGGAACCATTAAAGAGTCTCCTTTTCATCCCATAAATTGACTCCCTCTCTGCTAGAAGGGAAGCGGGAGTCACTGATAACATCACAGCCACCTGCAGGCGCTCCATTCTGATTGGATATCGCTGAGTGATACTGCGTTCTGATTGGAGGATAAGGAACCGCCGCTGATACGTCTTACCCTAATGCTGTGTTCACGTACTGTCGGAAATATAAAATTTATTGTTGACTGCATTTGTTTTTGCAGTGATTAATCAGTTAAGAGCCTGAAAACTATCCCCCCTTCTTTCCTCCTTTGTCAATATTTCCTTGCATTTATCCTCTCGTAAGTTATTGCTGCTTATTAAATACACTTATATTAAAAAAAATCACAAACGCAATCTTTTCAAAATCTCTAGCCACCTGTTTCAAGATAAGACGGGTAATGTAATCAATATTGACATATGAGGATGCATAATCAGAGGTTTCTGCATGCTTTGTTAATTAGGGATCCTATGTAGATAATTATAATAATAATTAAAAAGAAAACTTAGGATCAGTTGATACGTATTTTTAAATGCAAAACTTGAAATTAAGATGCAATCTCCTCTAGAGCACAAATAAAAATGTTGCATTGTTTCATAAAAACAAGGGCAAAATGGAACAAGAAAAAGTCTAATTTTCTGGCGCTGCCCCCCGTGACGTCACTGCCCACCAGGAGACCAGGCTCACATGCAATTACTTAAAGCAGCCATTCTTTATATACTTAATCTTGTCTAAATTATAAAAATGGAGCATGGGCATTCATTTTAGGGGTTCTAGTTTATATTTGTGTTTTTAGGTGAAAATATTTGTGGCCATCTGTAAGGCGTACAGAACAAACAGCGCCTCCTACAGATATAGGTGACAAGGCAGCAGAATTAGGATACTCATTAGATTATAACTCATCTCTGTTCCTTAAGTTACTGGTACATTTTGAGACAGAAAAACTGCAAATGACTCAGTTTTAAATCACATCCAACATTAATAAATACCTCTAGTTATATCTGTAGATATTGGTAATTATTTGTTTTTGCTACAAGTGTCTAAAACTGCTTTGAAATAATCAAACTCAATATCTTTTATGACTTTTTCACCAGTCATTTATTTATTGATGATGCAAAACATTGTAAATTTAAAAAATATCTGGAAGAATTTTACCTTGTATATCTTATATAAATATCACCAACAATAACGCTTTCAATTGTAAAGTATAAATATTTAGTAATAGAAAACATAATGCCTGGATTATTTTGAATATAATCCAGGCATAATGTTTTTCATTTTGAATAGCTAAATTGAAACATATTCACAAAGATTTTTTTAACTTATCTAAAATTGTGCAGAAAGTGGTCTACATGAAGAATTAAAACCAGAGGCCGAATGTTGTTTAAGAATGTGATCAGGCATAGCATTATGAGCACCTGATAAATAACAGCTCTGAAGGTTTTCTGTAGAATCTGGCGCCAGAAAGTTAGCAGCAGATCTTTTAATGTTGTGGATGACAGGAGTTCGTACAACATGTCCCACAGAGGCTTGATCAGATTGAAGTCGGATGCCAAGCTAATACCTGAAACTTGTAGAACCATTTTCCTGTTTCTAAAGCATCGACTTTGAGGACATCTCCATTTACTCCCTAAGATATTCAGGCACTAGCAGCTGCCATGATGAATCATCTTTCTTTAGTTCAGCTGTCATTGGTCATAATGTTATGCATGCATATGTTACAACAGCTTGCCATACTTTGCTCAGCAGAGTGTGTCTCAGTACTTTTCCATGCATCTGATGGTGATGATTGTGCAACAAGTGTTCCTGTAGGGATCTTTGTTGAGGTTTGAGGTGGAAGATCTTTGGTGATTCAGCCAAAACGTTTCCACACTCCGTTTTTCTCATAATGACAGCAGCTCTGATGCAGCCTTTCTTTATTACATTAGCACTTCGAGAGAAGGGTGTGACACATCTATTTAGCATAATTTTAAGTATATCACATAATGACAAATAAAATCCAAACTGGGGGATTTTAGGTGAGGTGTTCTGTGGCGCAGCGTGTTCCAGGTCACTGCCAAGTGAGAAAGTTTACCTCTAATAAGACAAAAAGAAAAATAATCCCATATTTATATTGTAATCTTCTGTGAATGAATGAAGAATATTAAAATTTGGCCTAAACTCTGTTGTTATCAATTTCAATATGATTATTTTAAGTTTCCTTGATATTAAAGGTTAAGTTCTTCTGTGCAAAAACTGAAATTAAAGATGCTGGTGGTCTATTTTTCTTTCCACTAATAAATACACACCAGGTATAAGAAGACAGATGAGAAATGAAGTATGAATTTTCATGCATTTTCCAAGAGCTTACTAAAGGAGAATAAAGCCCTGCTAATTCATGTTTGTGTGCATTTACGCTGATGACATCTCAAAAAGCTCAATTATGAAGTTCCACAGAGATTTATAAAATGTGGCAAAAAATGTTTCTATAATTTTCCTGTCTTTTCATTTTTACAGTTATGATATTTTCCTGGGGTTACAAATGATGCTAAATAAATAAATAAATAAATAAATAAATAAATAAATAAAATAAAAATAAAAATCAACCGAATGAGAAATTAGAGACATGCAGATACAAACAAAAACGGGAAAAAAAAACAGAAAATTGTCATAATAAAAATAACTCTAATTAGTTGCCTTATGTGATGTCATGAAAGGTGTGCATAAAATCTTGCTGGGAGGAAAAATTTTATCTTGATTAAACACACATTTCAAACAGAAAAGCAAAAAACCACAGAGAAACTGTGTTGTTATGTGGATGACAATTTATATCTAAAATGAGTTTGACTTATTTTATAGCAAAGTCTGGCGAGCGGCTTTAAACTTGAAGATGGTGTGAGAAAAGTGATGTTGGAGGAGACCGTGAACGCATCATCAGCTGCAGTCTATTGAGAGCTTCAGCGGTCCTGGTGATGAGCTCTCTCATGTGGACTTCGTTTCTTCCACAGCAAAGAATATTTACGTTTTTACAAGAAACATTATAAGCAATTTAAAAACGAACTCGAAGACAGTTGTTAAGAAAACTCCATCATTGGCTTTAAAGTTGATTTTGTTTTCAGATTTAGAAGACGCTGTCTAAATTCCTTTTCCCCTTTAAATTTAGTTAGACTTTTATTTATTCAGATGAGTTAAAAACAAACATTTTAATTCTTATTCTAGTTTTCACCAGAACTGCGCATAAAACTTGCAAAGTCTTTTATTTAGTCCTAATTTTAGTGCTCAAAACAAACATGTGATGCTTTTACTTCTGAGTCGGGCTGCGCTGCAGAGAAAGCGCGGCTCCACTCATCACCCTGAGTGCTGTAATATTTTATGGAGATGTGAGGAGCTTGAGAGAGTGAAATATGGCACCGTTAGTGTTTAAAAGGCTCCGGCAAAAAAAAAAAAAAAAAAAATGCACCTTGCGTCTGATTTGCTCACCGCGGAGGGATTGTGGGTTTTAAGAGGTTTTCAACGCGACGTGATTCACAATTTTGACTGTATTTCTTCAAGCTTTCAGGAGATGCAGCAGACGCGCGTTTTCCAATCCTGTAAATGGCCTTCTATTTCTAATTTATCCTCCTGTATTTTCCTCTGATTGTGTGCCTTTATTTTATTATCCTATTTGAAGGTCTTTCTGAAATGATCACATATCGGAGGAAAATAAATATCTATAAATATGTGACAGAAGCGCTGCTCAGCCGCCGTAGCAGGTTAAATGTGGGGCAGATATGGTTCTCATCCGGAGGAAGATCAATGACAGAAAAATTGGTACTCCACCCCCCCCGCCCCCTCGCACCTCATCTGCAGCCAGAGATGAAGCTGCCAGGCTGGTGATCACTGCAAATGTAACAATTTAACTCCATGGAGGAGTTGGATCTATCAGAAACCTGCAGGTAACTTCAAATTTAAACTCGATTTTATTGTTTTGTATGAACGAAAAATTATTAACTAATAAGAGAAACGGGGAAACTAATCAAATAGTAAGAGGAAAAAATATATTTGTTAACATAATAATAATAATAATAATAATAATAATAATAATAATAATAATAATAATAATAATACTTTTATTAGTATTATCATAAGTCTCGATGTCATAAAGGTCCATATAAATATGCGTTTATTTTTTTAATCGACTCACAGAGACTAACGGGCTGTTTGGTCCAAATTATTCAGAGGTTTGGTGCGTTTACTTCCCGTCTCTCTGTGAGTTTGTCCTCACTAATGTGGTAAAACATTTTAAATATGAGGAAAAGTTCAGAAAACTTTGGTGTCGCGAAAAAAAGAAAAGAGAAGTCAAACGTACAACGTGTTGCCATAAGAAAGTCTTACCGACCGGCTTGAGGGGGAAAAAAAAAATCAACAGGCGCTTTGATAGTTTGATCAATGGCGCCCTCTGCTGGGAACAATCTGAAACAGCTCAAAGTTATGCCCGTGCTGTATTTCATCACTATTTAGGGCAATTTGTCTTTTCGTTATTCACTGGAATAAAGTTATTTTATTTAAAAATAAATAAATAAATAAATAAATAAATAAATAAATAAATAAATAGTGATAAAAACGTTTAGAATTGTAATGAAATATTTTATTTGTGAAATAAAATACATTTTTCTTATTCAAATCACTTATTTTGATCTCACAAAGAGGAAAAAGCCATAAGTGACTCTTTGGGTCTTCCAAAATGACTCTTTTGAACTCTGAGTAAAAACTATAAAGGAAAAACTAATATAACGAGAAATGCAGCAATGTTTCACTTTTTTCATGAAAAAATACATTTTCAAAAAAGAATGACACTAAAAAAAGCCAGATTTTCTTAAAGACATATTTTTTTATCATAAATCTGTAAGAAAATATATAAATAACTGTGGGGTTTTTAAAGAAATAGCAACAAATTTCCAATATTATGATATTTTTCAAAGACCATGTGCTTTTTTCACTCAGGTAACATTTGCGGCTCATAACGAGTTTTAATTAGGTAGAATTAGGGATTATAAAAGTTACACAGACCTGCTTTAAATATAATCTGGTGCAACCAACCAAAATA